TGGAATGCATTCAACAATTAGGAATTTCCGTTATTGGGTTTACCTCCTTTTCGTTGGTTTCATCGTCCACACTGTTGAACATCTTTCGACTTACTTCCTCACCAAAGCCGCAATACAGCAAGATGAGGAATCGGCGCTCATGTTGGCATCCCCGTTCGATACCTGGGTGGGGTATTTCTACTTCATATTTGGCCCAGTAAGTCCTCCTCCTCCTCCCCTCCCTTCCCACCATCCTCCCCTTCAGTTGATGCTCCTCCTCGGAGGCATCGCCCTACTCCTCAACCCAGCCGTGAAGCATACACATACTATAGTGGCCACATCGATTCTACTAACGGTGGTTTGCGAGTTCATCTGCCTCCTCGATGGTCATTCGACATTTACCGCGGCACGAGCAATGCCCATCCCTTTGGTCCTTCTTTTCACTTGTATGAGCTCGAGACTCTTCCCAAGTGTCAGCTTTCTCGCTGTTGCGCTCTATTTGATTGGTAAGTTGCTTTAGTCGGCCTCGTTCGAGTGAGCCTTTTCTCATTCAGGCGCTGATGTCACTTTGTTGGCATATAGTTATAGGGTTAGGGACAGTGCATCGCACATGATGATGATACTTGCGGCTGTACTTTGTCACTGGTTTGTAAGTAGAAGATAGTGAACTTAAAGCCTAGCAAGGATGCTCTGATGTGATAGGTATTCGGTCTGTGTCTGGTGGGCAGTAGTAACCTCTTGAGGGCTCAGTCGGATCTGTTCTCATCGATGATGGATAGACTGCAGTTCAAAGGAGAGAAGGATGGCTCCTATGACCTCGGCATTCACGTGAGTTCGAATATAATACGTTGTCTTGTATATTGGATAGGTATGAGTGAAAAATAAATATATATTTGTATAAACGAAATAGTTAAAAAACGTATGTCAGCATTTCCAGCTATGGATAAACGTTATAATTATTAATATATCTAGCGCGTTTCCCGGCCATATACTATCTATGCGAATTCAATAAAGTGCATACACCCGGCTTTGGCTGCTCATTTTGGAGCTGCAGAGTTTGCAGCCGTACTCTTACACTGGCTATCAGCCTGGTAGAGTGAGTGCTGCTTGGAAAAAAATAAAATTAAGTAATGTGTAGGTATGATGATATATAGTTAAACTGGTGGCACGAATGACCTCATATATTATGAAACAGTATTAAATACCTGTATTAAGTTTGTTCATCGTATTGTCGAATCTCGTGGTGGGTTATATAGGGTCTGTGTGTGTGATGGGTCCTCAGGAGAGGGTTCTGTTGAAGATCTCCTCCTGCTCCTCCTGCTCAGGGCGTCTCTGCTTCGTTGCTGAAGTACTTTGACGATAACTACAGAGCGCCTACCCCCCACAAATTCGATAGTAGTGTGGATGAGAAAGAGTATGTCTAAGCTTTTAGGAGAGCGGCGTCTCAGTCGTTCATGGTAATTGATACCAGATACCGACTATGGGCCAGATCACGGCAAACCTTCTGGATAACCCGTCATATGAGATGGGCAGTAGCGGGAGTATTGCTGTAAGGAGGGGCTACGCCTTCTCATTGGATGTCTCCATTGCAGGTTGGTCGTTGCTATGACTTTTGTCGCGGTTAATTTCCATGGACCTATCAATGGCAAC